TCAACGACGCGTGGTCCACCGATCGCGCGATTCGTGTCCACGAGCGTGGAACGTTATTTGACTCGAAGCAGCGGATGCTGATAACGTGTCGGCGCGGTGCGATGTCCAGTAATTACGCCGGTTCAGTTTTCCGGTATCGTTCGGGACGGCTGTCCCCGGACGCTCGTGATTCTCGTCCTCTCGCCTTGCGTTCCAGCTGTGGCGACCTGTATGTGTTGTGTGTGTCTCCCGACGTTCGTGGCGCGTTTATCGTATCAGAGTCGATTTAAAGGCAACTCGTTGGAGGAATGTAGGTATCGTATGTATATATTCGTGTGTAATCGTGTGTGTATTCTGTATGTATACTCTCTTTCGATTCTTTCTTTATACAACTATAAGGCTGTCGATGGAGAGCGCGCGCGCGCGCGCGAGTTTGCGCGTGGGGTCCGCGAGGCCGCTGCCCGCTCCCCGAGAGCGGTGGTGGTTTTCTTTGTTTCCGTTACTTCCGTTCTTACTTCGATTCGTCTTATTTTATTCACGGCATGTCTGTTGGCTGGATCGACGATCGAAGCGTGTCCTTCTTTGAAAAAGAAAAGCTCGTCGTCGCTCGGCGATGGAGCGGGGTTCTTCGTCGTGGCTGCGAGCGCGGACGCCGCCGGTCCCGTTTTGTGTTTTGTTGGCTTACGGCGACGTTGCTGCTGCTGGGTACGACGGTGGCGGTGGTTGGGGCGTCAACGTCGCCGATCAGACGTCCGCGGTTTTCGAAGTGACGCTCGGCGATTGGCTGTGTATCACTACACGGTGCCCGTTCTTTGTTACGAAACCGTCGCTTTCGACTAGGACCGCTGTCTGCCGCACGCGCGGATCCGTGTCCGCGTCGTCGCTCTCCTCGCTGGGCCCGCCTAGGCGTTGCTGTTTGTGCTTACGCCAGGCGTTCTGTATCAGGCGCGCGCAATACTCCTCCCTTTGACGCCAGAGGGTCGAGGAGACTGGCTCGTAACCGGCCTCACCCGGACGCGTCTGCACCTCTAGCTCCGACGTCTCCTCTATCGGGTTACCTTTACGCGCGAAGAAGTCCTTGGTCAAGGCGTCGAGGATATCCACGCAGAACATCAGGTCACCTTTACAGATCGGTATATCCATCGACACGATCTTGTACTTGTTCGGCTTGTGTATTTGCAATGGCGGCTCTAACACGTCGAGGAACTCGGACAACTGGTCGTATCTGATGTACTGTGTACCGTCCGGGTCGAACTGCTGCCAGATCTCGTAGTACATGTCGTAGTCGTCGTCCGTCAGCCCCTCTTGCACGTCCTCGGTCGCTTGAGAGTAGTTCTCGAGGATCACGGCGATGTACATGTTTATCACGATCAAGAAGCTGATCACCAGGTACGAGAGAAGATAGGCGATCCCGATCGTTGACGAACCGCAGTTACCCGGATATCCTATCTCGTTGTTCGGCTCCTGGCAGTCTTCCTCGTTTATTATGCCGTCGAGCACGCCGTCCCAACCGGCGGATGTGGACATCTTTGGGGAATCGGAAGTTTCAACGTTATTACTAGTTTCAAGCTGGTTATTCAGGTAGACTGTGTTACAGGAGCAATTGCGTACTACTGTTAGCCCTTTGCACTCTAGAGGTGACTCTCAGTCACCGTTTCATTTGATATAACAAAATTACAAAATTTTATCAACAAAACACAATTATTGTATATAATATTAAGTTTTGTATAATTCATCAATATGTGAAATATTTGTATAAAATAGCTTTGTTTCTTAACCCCTTGCCCTACAATACCGTGTCAGGCTCGTGGTGAAGATTTCAAATAGAATTTAACAAACATACATATTACTGAATTTGTTTGAATGCAAATTACATACTATTCCTCTATTATCAGTGATTATACCTTAGAGCACACGTTAATATAGAATAAGACTGGAATTTTCTCTTGTCTTCGATAAATTATTAATAACAAAGTAGTTACATCGATTTCAGAAAGAAATCATTGGGTAAGGGGTTAATTTACGTATGTTTTCTCATTAGTTCGTTTCAAATGGTGTCGTCTATATCTCATCGGAAAGTGTCGAATGTTTCTAGAGAAAAGCTTCCGAGTGCAAAGGGTTGGAAGACATCTTTATGATTCTAGCCGTGTCAGTTTTCTTTAAAATATCGTTGAAAATGAAAATTTGTGCAAAGATCTACGATCGACTGATAACGCATTAGATGTATTAGCACAGGAAATGAAATTTTAACGTCGCGATCCACAACGATTCAGTCTAATAACAGGGTGCAACGTTGCAATAGGTTTTTATGAGTAACTATTGTTGAAGTAACGAATTGTCTTCTTACCTGGAATAGCAATATCATCGACTGTCCAAACGTTTTGAAATTGTACACATCGTCCAGTCCACTTTTATCCTTGACGTGCATGAAGAAAGACATTCCGAAGATCGCGAAGATAAACATCACCAAAAAGAGTAACAGGCAAATATTGAAGAGGGCTGGCAACGACATCGCTAAGGCGAAGAGAAGCGTTCGAATACCCTTGGCACCTTTCACGAGTCGAAGCACACGACCGACTTTTGCCACCCTCACTACACGAAGCAACGTTGGCGACACGAAGTATTTCTCGATAATGTCGCTGAGTACCAGACCTGAAGAGGACAATTGTTAATTAATACCACTGTTCCGGTGATGTCTGTCGATGTTCTGGCTAATTCTACGATGGAATTGAGAGAGGAGGTAAAATTGTGCTGTTTCAAGTATCAAGGTGCTTTCTATGTTAATGGATGTTCCTCTAATTCTCATGCAGCTCTTTGGAAAGAGGATAATTCTTGCAAGAGTGAAGGATGTCTATATCTAAGAGTCTAATTCATTCACCGAGTGTAAAATATATGTATATATATATATATATATATATACATAAACAAAAATAATCTAGTCGTTGCATTCTCTATTCCTTTAATCCGTAAGCAAAATTGCAGAGATGTTTCCTCCAGTCTGATCCGTTTTGTCCAAGAAATTTGAAAATTCTGATGCATGACTACACGTGTCTCTCGTTTGTAGAAAAATAAAAATAAATGTGTGAACATGCATCGCTGCTCTAAATACCTATCTTCGAGCTCTATTCTATATTCCCGAGGATTCGGTGTTACCTCGACATGCATCGCAGTTTGACTTAAAAGCTCGATCACTTGTTAAATGATTCGCGGTGCTGTATAAGAGAAACATATTGAATTTTCGTGTCAGGCATTCCAGTGTTTCAGAGTTGTTATACTAGCAGCCGATCGCTCCTCTCTAATAAGATGCTAATTCTGAATTAGAAATAGTAGTGGTAAACCTTTGTAATACAGACCCGCTCTTACCCGATGTTTCGACTAATGATCGTCTTTACATCAATTAACATATGCGAAATAAGTCGGATACGATATTACATTGCCAAACAGTTAAACGGAATCGGATCCGATAACAAAATTCTAATCTACCATTTGAAATATCAAAGTCAAAGCAAAGAATAGCCAATGGACCAAACAAGAATCTAACGTTTTCTTAATTAAACATTTCAACAATATCGATTTCATTTGTTAGTAACGCTAGGATATGCTTAAGGAATAATGTGAAATTTTGAATTTAAATAAACAAGTGGCCATCGTAATATTGTATCGAACCTTTCAGCAACAAGTTCCTATACACATTGTACTGGATAGAGGAGTGTGGAGGGTCACAGGGCGGCAAAAGGGGGGTTCAATACAACATCAATGTAAGGCTACGTAACGTAATGACGCTGATCAGTCGTTTCGGCACACGTGAAATATCGACCCTGTCCGCTTTTAAGTTTCTTGAGTAAAATTGTTCAATCGTCCCTGCGTGCATGATGAAAGAGAGAAAGACAGAAAGTGTGTGAAAGATCGTAATGCAAACGACATGCTCATTAATCTGATCAAGCCTCTAATCGTAGCGATGGGTGATTGATAAGTAGAAATAGTGAACTGTGTAATTGGAAAAAGCTAACAGGATTCTTTTCTGATCAACGTTAGTCAATTTCACTTGGGCCATACGACTGAACTAGTCATTACATTACATTACCTAATATTGACAATATAACAACAACAAAATCAAAGAGGTTCCACGGCTCCTTGAAATAGTGGTAACGCAGCGCGAAGATCTTCATGAGACACTCGCTGGTGAATATCACAATGAATATCATGTTCAGATAGTCTAGAACATCGCTGAAAGTCTGGGTCTGTTGATAATGGTCCAACGTCATCGTTAACATGTTCAGTCCGATAAACAACATGATTATCATATCGAACTTTTTGTCCGTCACTATTTCAAACACTATCGCCTGCGGTCTCCACTGAAACAAATCGAAAACACATCGATTAGTTGAACAATCGGTTCATCTATATTAACAAATGTCTATATAATTTCGTATCTCATTTTAATGGGTGTAACAAGCACACTTGAACCGTTAATTTTGAAAGTGGTTCAAGTCCATTTAAAACAGATGAAAAAACTATTAACCCTTTGCGGACGGATGTCGGCATTTCGTTGAGATGAAATGTTTAGATTTGGACGATTAAGTCGTGGACAAATCTAATTAGTTGAACACCAAAAGATCAGCACGTAATTTTTTTCTCTATTAATCAAGCAATTAATATGTAATTTAGCTTTATACGTTGAAGGCTTTGTATGTTTCGAAGAATAAAAAGATTATGTAGAACTGTGACTATTACAATGATTCACTTGATTCCTTTGAAAAATGAACTTAAGCCAGTTTCAAAATAAACGGCTTATTTATGGAAACAGAATTTAACAAATATTTTGTACTTACTCTCGGGCGTGGTATAGCTTTAAGAGGCTTCTTGCTGCCCATTTTCTTCATGGCGTTGTAATATTTCTTCTGATCTTCCGTCATGAACATCTCTAGCGACCCTCCGGCCTTTTTCTTTTGCTCGTTAAAGTTGTCGATGATAACTCCAATGAATAGATTAAGGGTAAAAAACGATCCGAATATAATGAAGAATACAAAATAGAAATACATGTAGATGTTCGTTTCACGAATTGGTTGTTTGTTGAGCTGCGAACGAAGATGAATTCAATGCGAAAACTGCTCTACTACAAGAGAAACATTTTTCTCCCTCGCATGACGATGATCAACTCCTTGACTTACAATAACGTGTGACTTGAGACGAAGATTTTAAATAGAATTTAGCGAAAATAAATATTACTCGAGTCTTGTGAGTTCAAATGAAATATCGTATTTCTGTTGTCAATTATTATATTCTAGAGCAAAGGTGGACATAGAATATGTCATTATTAATGACAAAATTATTGTATTGAACACAGTTGAGAAATAAAGCAAGGGGTTAAGGAGACAAATTTCAGAACAATGATTTTAAAGTTTATCATGCGAGGGTTGAACGTGTTTTATATTGACGACCTTACCTCCCTAGAATCGATAGCGTCGTTCATTATTTGAATCCAACCCTTGAACGTGGCCACTTGGAACAAACACAGATACGCTTTCCCTACGTGGTCGAAATTCATTGGAGAATTTTCCCAAGTGTAGTTCTCGGCTATACAAGCGTTTCGATCGGGAATTATTTCGTAGCTCAACGTTGTTTTGTTTGCGTCTACACACTGCAACAACAATAATATTCCATTAATTCTCTTCCATCGACAAAAGTTGTCATACAATCGTCCTTTCGAATGGATAACGGACATATCTGGATTACACGATTGCGAGTGACGAACCTTGAAGTATTTGCCGGCGAAAAGCTGTACACCCATAATGGCGAAGATCAGCCAGAAGATAAGACACACCAGTAACACGTTGAAAATGGATGGAATGGCTTGAACCAAGGCGTTGACGACTACCTGCGTGACGGAGACGTATCATTAGTGTTTGCAGGTGTTCGCCGATCGTGGATATTCTGTTTCTCTTTTCTATGCGTTTAGGTATGCGTTTATATGCAGCTATATGCGTCTCTATGCGACTACGCTATGTGTACGCATTATCGTATGTGCAATGTAAATTTTAATTCTCCTTGTTCGTCCACGCGGAAATAAAAGAAACGACAACGTCGGCCGAAGAAAAACCGGGAACATCCGAGATTCATCCGGAACGAAAGGAAATCGTCAACATTTTCGTTCGTAATTTATCCCAGTTTCCCGTTCCGACGGCGGTTGAAAGATCAAACCATAGAATTGAAACTTAGAACGTCGCTCGAGATTTCATCGATCGTCTCGCAAATGGAAGAAACGTCTTATTTATTTGCTTCGTGAAGCAAACCGAGGTAAATTTCGCATACTTACTTCGCCAAGCGTTTCTGAGAGATCGTTCGTTAACAGATATGCCAGTACACGCCGAGAAACAATACGTAATAATCAAGAAACTCAAAGAACTCGGTGTTTCTGTCACGAAACTCGAGAAACAAGGGAAATAAATAGAACGGAAAAGTCGAAAGGAAAAGAAAACTGTGAATGCAACGTTTGGCCAATCGATGTGACGTGTTCCAGAGTATCGCATCGCGGGGTACGACGCATGCAAACAACATTTTTACAAGTGAACTGAGTAAAAAGAAAAGAAGAAAACGTGGAAAATAAACGGGCCGGGGGAAGAAGATGGCGGCACATCAAGCGTACATCGAAACGAAATGCGAGGTGGGCCGGCCATGGCAGCTCCGGTAGTCTAACAGATATCTCATGCAAGAAATGATAAAACAAAAGAAAACCATTCAAAGTACATCGACATTTGCTGAAAGTCAGTAGCATCGAACTATCATAAAAAGATAGGATGAGATAGTGTCAGGGTGTGGGCATGACAGTAACGCTACGCCCAGTATCTCAGCGACCTTGTAATTACAATGATGTAGAATCAATTCAAGTCTGTAATGAGACGTAAACTGTTAATTAACCCATCGGGCTGTAATAGATGATATATCGCTAAATATGTATGTAGGTACGTGTGTTGATATGTATTCTAGCTGTATCTAGAGTAAAAGGCACGTTATCTAAAAGATCGAGGTAGTATCTAAGTACTACTCATCCATAAGTTTGGGGTCACGCGTTCGTTTACAATTTTATAGCATGCAATTATTAAGAGTATTTCAGACTATCGTTAAAACAGAATTCAGTAAAATAATCAATGATGTTTTCGATGAGCAATTCAGCAAGATAATCAAAGAGTTTAACAGCTCAATCGAAATAACAAAGGAAATAAATATTATAGTTGTAAATTCTTCAATTTGTTCTTTATCGTTGTCTGTATATCGTGAATTTTAAAGAAGGTGCGAATAAATCAGTTGAGATGCACGTTAACGTAGTGGGGGAAGCGTGGCTCCTCCCCCGCGACACGCGGCGCAGTTCAATTGGTTAAATGTTTGAGAGAACGTTCTGTGAGAAAACGGTTTGTTTCTGAACAATGATTCCTTCTTCAATTATGAATATCTCGTCGAATCATGTATGTAAAAGTGAACGTTTGATTTCGAATTGAATCCATGTGTTAGACAGAAGCTCTGTTTTGAATTGCAGGCGGTGACCTCGAACTTACGAACAACAGTGTACGTGTATCCTCTAAAGTGCATATTTCGCAAAAGTTGTTCACGAAGAACAAGTCTACGTGCCGTTCAAACATTCGCAGTTTTAAAGCTCAAGTGCATTCGCGATTTTCCTACGCATGTTTACGTGCAAAAGGAGATTCTGCTGAGTCTCTGACACCGCGAGGCCGAAGAATTACACTCATTTCAATGTCTAATTACTGTTGCATCGACATTTCAAAATCGTTCTGCACGATTCTTCATTACTCTGTATCTATCAAGCCAGATTTGAAGAGGAAACAAAAAAAGAAAAGATCAAGGCAATCGAGTTCTTATTGTTACAAGCTCCTGTCGGCCTCTTTGTCGAGTCTCGCGACGGAAAATAGAAAAATGGTTCCGCCGTTAATCGACGGCACCGAGAAAGTCTAAATTGAAAACATATGAACGAACCGAAGGTTTTCGACAAAGTTGGACGTCCATGCACCAATCGTATTATTCGCTAATCGCCGTTCAACTACCATTCGATCTCTCTTTCTCTTCTGAGACACGTACGCGCACATTCAACACGTTGACTACCACGTGATCGACCGAGATTCCTAAAATTTCAACTTGACGAGTCAATCGCTCGAGTGAATTACAAAAATTTACGAAGCTTTTTGGCAGCTACGGTACTAATTCTCAAAGTGGAACACCGAATAGAATGAATTCAATCGAACGGTTAATAAGACAAACGAAACCTGAAGAGAGTCTATTCTCTCAGGAATGCCGGTTTCTCGAAATTTCTCTGTTCCAATAAGGTTGATCTCATTTAGTTTGGCAGTCCAAGTGTTAACAATGGCCTCGAACGATCGAGAAACCCGACGACCGCGACGGAATATAAAGAATTTCGAAGAAGCACGATCTAGTGCCCAACTCTGGCTATCGATTCGTCCAGACAGACTCCTATTCTAAGAGAAAAACTGATCCGGATGGGATACATGGAGTAATCGGCAAGGTCCGCTGAGACTGTGGGCTACATACCCGCATTCCCTGCATTCTAGACATCGCCCTGAGTGGCCTTAGGGCCCTTAGGGTCCTCATTGTTTTGAAGGCTTGGATCCCGCCAGCGCCACAGAGCGACGCTACGAAGTTAATGAGTGACACCTGCGAGCGAGAAACGAGAGCGAATCACAGCAACAGGTAGACAGGCTACATATAAGAAGAAGAAGAAGAAGAAGAAGAAGAAGAAGAAGAAGAAGAAGAAGAAGTAGAAGAAGAAGAAGTAGTAGAAGAAGAAGTAGTAGAAGAAGAAGAAGTGAGAAGGAAAAAAAGAAAATGAAAAGAAAAATAAAGGAAACCCAAAAATGATTCATCGTTTCCAAACTGTGGAGTAGTGATAGAGAACTTTGGGGTTTTTATGAGGTTAGGGTAGGTCACAGAGAGAAATAGAAAGAGATAGATAGAAAAGAGAACAGGGGAGAAAAGGAGGGTAGAAAGAGAGAGATAGAGAAAGAAAGAAAGAAAGAAAGAAAGAGAAAGAACGTTGACATGTCACTTCGTTTTTGATCACATGTTCGATGGATTCGAGGATTCTCATATCGAAGCGGCATTTATCAGACACAGGCGGCCGTCCTATCTGTGGGAGAGCTCAGATATCCATTTATATAGTGTATATACACGTTCGTAGATACGGTACAACAAATATCCAGAGCAGGGGGATTTGAAGACACAGATAGAAACCAGGTAATGGCACACGTAGCGGTTAACAGTGAACAGAGATGTACAGCAGGCGAAACGAGGATTCGTGCACGGCTTCTCCTTCGTTCGTATCGTTCGCAATTTTTCGTGTGTTAGTTTTGCGAAATGTTCATTAGTTGCTGATGCCAATCGGGAATCGAATGTTTGTTAGCAATAAGTTAGAATCGTGGAATATTCGGAAAGAGAAAGCTCATCGGTGCACGAACACTATTTTCTTCGACTGTTCCAGACTGAACGCTCGTTCGCGTATAATTAAGATTTATCTGAGGAATTGACTTGAATGAATTGTTGAACTAGTTTGGAATTAACTGATTATATATCTGTTATTTTTATTAAACGTCGATCAACGTGTAGATCAAATATTTCGATTTGAAACGCGTCGAATATCTTGATTAATTATACGCAAACGCGCGTTCGCAGTCAACAAGGCAGAGCAATGTACGGCTTGACAAGAATCATTATCAATTACGAGCATGATAGTCGGCTTCGTCCTGAAACAGATGAAAATGTTCGTCATACTTGCGATCGCGATGCACAGTTAATAGATCTCGATGATTCTTAATAGAATTGTGACCGATCATTTCTTTCATCGTTAGCTTCGCTCATGTAGAAATCGAATTCAAGCGAAGACGTGGAAGTTGGAAGATATTAACACGTTGATTGTTGCGCGATTTATATATTAACCCTTTGCACTCGAGAGATGACTCTCCGTCACCATTCGATTTCATACAACAAAATTACGAAGTGTTATGTATAATATTCAGTTTCATACGATACATCAATATGTGAGATATTCATATAAAATAGCTTTATTCCTTAATTTACGTATGTTTCCTCATTAGTTCGTTTCAAATAGTGTCCTCTATGCCTCATCGTAAAGTGTCGAATGTTTCTAGTGAAATGCTTCCGAGTGCAAAGGGTTAATCGCATTAAATGCTCGGTAGGTCTAGTGTTAACACGTTGAATGCCATAGGGGTCACCGGTGACCCCAACCAAATTCAATTACTATAGTCCACTCAAAACGATGATTATTTGGAAACATTTCCATATTATAAATAATGCTACCTAATGCGATGACATTCAGCTAGATGAACGTGCCATAATAACAATGCAATTCAATCGAATGGTTCAATATTATATTTGGTCCATTTTGTGTATTTTGCTCTATCAAATCGTGCGGCATTCAACGTGTTATTCATTTTCGCCAGTGAGTTTTAGAAGAAGAATCGAATTCCAGATGTCAGTGTGCGTCGCGATACGAACAACTAAAACCCTTACAGTTACATTACAGTTTATACGCGTAGACGTACGTTAATACATACAAGGAAGATCAGTAACATTACACAAAAAGCATGTTTCATATATATATGTATATATACACATATATATACAGTATGTATATGTAAATACAGTATACGTTGCACAACGATCACTGTGCCAAAAAAGACTGTTTAGGAAAGGCGTACATAGACAATAGCTAGTACGACAAAAATTCCAAGATATCAGTGCAGACATCAAGTTAGAAACGCCAGTGTACCTCTGCACACTGGGAAGCATAGGACAGGCTACAATCACTGTAGCGATCTTTCTTTTTCGTCATTTTCCCTCGGTTTTGTTTACGTTCCTTTTCGTACACATTGCACTTAGTCCCCTTTTACAGATCGACTGTTAATAGCACCTGACGGTGAATGTGACGGATCGCTGGATAATGAATTCTAGTTGTATCTCTTATCGGAACAGATTGTTGCGCGTGAAATGTCTCCCTTCTTTCGATGAAAATGAAGAAATTCAGTAATCTAATAAAAGTAGATACTCTAAAACTAGTTTTATTTCTATCATTTAAGCATGGATTTACTTGTTATACTTGTCTTTTTATTGTAACATAATAAAAACAATTTCTTTACATTTTCTCTGTAGGCTTTCCACTTATATTCTTTCTTTCTTGTTTAATCAATTATTAAAAAGATAAGTTTGATTAAATGAATTAATGCCTCGATAGAAGCACTCGTTTCTATAAATTTCAAAGACTCAATTGAATGGCTCTGTAGTTTTAGTGTTAATACATAATTACCCAAGAATCATCTATATCTGACTTTCTGAATTATCCTTTCTTTTATACGGTAGTATCTTCTATAAACATCAAAAGTATTTAGTACATTACAAAAATGCAAGCTCCAAGGAAGCAACATTCTACGAGCAACAATATGATGAAACAACCGAAGCTACAAGTAGAAAATGAAACTTTCTTTAGCAGATTCAGCCTTTCAGATTGACATTATATGTAAAATATCGTCACATCACCGGATCAGGCCGATGGCATTTCTTTCTTTTTTCGAATTTAGTTCTCCTCGACCAATGTGACTTACTCTCATGCCCTCCCATCGTGATACAGCTCGTAAAGGCCTCAAGGCCCTCAGTGTTCTCATGGAACGGAAGGCCGGGATGTCGGCGGCGCCGGCCCAGATTGCGCCCAAGTTGATCAGTGAGAGCTATTATCATCAAATATTGATCAGATGGAAGATGATTTTCATAATAATTAGAATTAACGGGTAGACGAGTCTATTAGAGAACTCCGCTGGAAGTTTCCATGCTGCGCTCCCGCTTTTCAGGCAGATTTTCGGGGTTATTAGAAGGAGGAGGGGCACAAGATGGCGGACGTCTTGCGTTAACGAGTTCAGATAGGACAGTTCGGTTCTTTCTAATAAAATGTGTGCAACAAGTTTACAAAGTTCCTGTTTTACTCAACTTTTAGCGTGTCTCTTTTCTTTTTTATTTCTCATTCTTATCCTAATTTCTCACGGTGAGATTTTTCGCGAGGCTCTTTGAAAAGAACATTTGTAAGCTTGTTCTGAGGAAAGAAGATAAAGTATGTAAACCAAATTATTTAGTCACATTACAAATATTCATTAACATTTTATCATATGCGTGTAATCGCTTGCTTTATCCTGCTACGTATATTTCTCTTGTTAACGCCGGGTATTGAATGTTTCGTGGGAAACAAGTCGTCGGGAAATTCAAGTCGTTTATATAAGTCGAAGATCGTACGGAAGAGATTACGCGCATTTCAATTACATAACGAGGAGGTGTAACGTAATTCTTGGATAAACTGAACTCACCATAACAATGATGAAATCAAGCCAGCACCAAGCGTTCGTGAAGTACTTCTTAAAGCCGAGAGCCAACCATTTAATTAACATTTCGAGGAAGAAAATCACAGTGAAGATTCGGTCCATGTAATACAAGATATCTTGCAGAATGGGTCGTGATTGAAGATGCACATCTTCCAAGGCCTACAAACGCATTATAATCAGATTTCTTTCGCACAGATTCGTGAGGATCAAACGTTGTTCAACACTTTAAGCCAGGCTCAAGATATTTTTAGATATTCCACTGTTTTGTTTATCTTTTAATATTTTTTTCAATACTAGAACTACAGAGCATTTAACACGATTAATATATAGGATTATAGTATCCAAGTGAAACTATTTATTTTTAAGATCACTTACATAATTCAATGCTTTTAAGGCAGCCGTTTCCAACCTTTATGCTACTACGCCGCCCTAAAAAAATTTTTTTCTGCGCTTCCCTATCTTTTAATAGATATAATAATATAGACATGTTTTAAATAATAATAAATTTATTACAAAATAAACATTACTTCACGGAATTTCTGCTGCTACGTTACGATATGAACTTTATTTATTTCTAGATATTATGGTATGAACGTTAATTTTTTATTCAAAATTTCGGCGCCTCCTCTGGTAATAGTTCGCGCCTTCCAGGTTGGAAACCGTGGTTTTAAGGTATCAATAATTACGAAACCAGTCATTGTAACTAGTATGGTAGTTCTAGTATTAAAAAAAGAAAGGTAATTATTCGATGGACTTTTGGTACAGACTTTGTGCCAGGCTCATAGCGTGAAAAACTGTGGTAAATTCGACCTATACTCACGAGAGCCAAACTACTCAAAAGAATCATCAAAATGACGGCAGTCTCAAAATACTTGTTCTCAATTAGTTGGAAGGTCTTCAGTCTCAAGTTCGCCCAACCCTGCCAGAACGGCGCGTCGTCGTCACCGGCCAGAAATGGAAACTTTTTGTAACAATTTTCTGGGCAACAATCAGCTGGATAATCGGATTCGATTGGATCCTCGTCTGCGTGAATAATGGCGTCGTCTGCCGCGCCCTCTTCGTCTCCTTCTTTCCCAAGGTCTTGAAAAACATCATGGATTCTTAATACAGCTCACAATCCAAAAAAAGGCACTAAAATATACTTAACCCTTTGCACTCAACAATATTTTTCATTACAACCATTCGTTATTCTCCGACGAAATATCAACAGTATTATTTGCAACTTATATACAGGAACATCTTGCTTATTTTTGGGGCAGAATTGTTTTATTTCTATGTTTCATGTGTTTATATCTTATTCGAAATTTTATATTGAATTGTTCATTTTGTAATTCTGCTGTGTCCAATTAAATGGCGACTGAGAGTGCAAAGGGTTAAAATAAAGAAATAAGTACCATCCTCTTGCTCCAGGTCCTCTTTGCTAGCATCTTTTTTCTCTTCTCCGTCCAATGAATCCATGCTACTCTTGTGACTTTCGTCCTTGAACGCCATGTTCTTGTGGCTGCCATACGACTTGATACTATTCAAATGCGTAGGAAAATGTTATCGTCAAATTAAACGTTCGATTGATAGGTTCATTTGAAATTATAGATCTAGGTGCGTCGATTATTTTAAATAGAAAATTGTATTCACATAATCGCTAATTTGATGAATCTAAAAATCGGAAATTCGATTGGAAGACACTAACCTGATCGTGTCATCCTCGTTCTGATTAATGTAATCATGGTCCAGCCTGTAGTCACGGTGATTAATCGAGTTGCCTATAATTTTGCTGTTGTTCATGCACAGTCTGCCACTCTTCAACTTATTCCTTACATCTCCTTCGAAAAACAAGAAATCGATTGTATTCAATGAAGACTATTAAAGATGTTCGAAGCGTGACGATGGTTTCGAGTGCACGATCGTATCGAATTCAGGATTCTAAATTGAAAATGGATGAACATCGATGATATTTATTCGCATTCCACGATACGCTTACCATGAATCGTGAATTCCATTCCGTCCCCAATCGCAACTTCGAGTTGGTTTAGCTCCTTGGGGCTCTTTTTATCTCTATACGCGTCGAGCTCGCCATCTGCAAGATCTAGGTTCCCATCGCGATCAATTCCATCTGCACAGTCACACAAAATCTCTAACCCGCCCTTATCAGAACCACTTTCTCAAAAAATACATCTGAGTACGGTTAATCAATCAAAGTGACCGATTGTCTTGCTTGTCTGTTAAGTTTTCGTTTCTCTCGTCTCGAAAATATATTTCAACAGAAAACGTACTCAAAGCTGTAAATAGACGTTCCTACCGTCCGATCGAATTTTTCATCTAACTCTCATGCAACTCTTTCTTTCTTTCATCTACGGCCAATTCTTTTCATCGCGACGTACGAGTTGTACTTGTTACATCAATTCCAGAAATCAAATAAACGTGACTAACCGAGCGTGGTACATAATGGATTGCGTTTCATTCCAATGGTCGTTAAGAAATTTCTTCGAAATTTCCCTCAATAAACTGTCAAATACTGGAAATGTTATCATTTCTGTATTAAACATCATTTATCAAAGAATCTTTATAACAAAACTCTCGATTATTCGGTGAAACCGTTAGAAATGGTTTCATTAACCCCTTGACCTACGATATCATGTCAGAAAATTTTAAACCGAATTAAAATTGATCGAAGTGTTATTCATTTTAAAATATCAATTACATATTACTTTTCCGTTGTCAGTCGGTGACGTTTGGCTTAATTGTAGACATAAAAATAGCACCGAAAATTTGTCTTTTCCTAATGAATTATTAGCAATAAAGTAACGGTATTGACTATAGTTAAGAAATAAATCATAGAGCAAGGGGTTAATTTGCAAACAATTGAAAATCTCAACTAAATCGATAGATCCCGTGCTACGTGATTCATCAGACACATACTGTGCACCGTAAGTTACGTTTCTGGTCAACCAGATTGCATTTGTCAACAGAAAATCGCAACAGAATCTTAAAACGAAAACGGACATTAAGAAGCGAAATCAATGTAACATCGAAGTCTCGTGAAATCTCAGGTGGCACGGGTCTCGTTCGAAAGTTCTGGTACCGAGCGGTGCAACTTCGCTGGCAGTCGTTCGCATTGTAACCTCTAATCAACGAAAACGCTATTCTAACAAATCATAGAATAACTTGAACAGAAACCATACAATTTCAGTTCCACGTTGCTCGCTAACGATCGATCGGCTGCCACAAAGCCTCTCTCGCATTCTCCAGAACCTGGTCAAACGCAAATCCACATGTACAACGCAACGATCTACAAAGAACTCGACTCGACGATATTATTCGACAGACGACACGATCATATATCCTTCAACGTCAAAAAATAATAGATAAAGCAACGTATAACTGCCAGGCTAATCAGCGAAGCAAAATTCAAAACTCCCGACTTATACGCCCCGTGTAATCGTCGCCGATCTTCGCCATCGAAGATCGTTCTCGCCCGGTGAACGAAGAGAAATAGCGAACCGATCAAAAAGTCTGCGTAAAAAAGTCGGGCATGCCAGTCAACGTATTGGTTGCCGCTAAACGATACAAGAATAGAGAAAGAGAGAGAGAGAGAGAGAAAAAAAATAGAAAACAATAAACGATACTGTCAACAGAATGTAATATGAAAAAGAAACTCGTCTCGAGCCGGTCATCTCTTTGTTAGCGCTGTATCGTCGTTCCCCTTCGCGCAGTTCACCGAAGGGGACGTCCTGCTTTCTGGATCGTCGACTGGCACCGGAAGTAACAGAACGCAAGGAAAGAAGTAACGAGAAAGGAGAACAGAGAGAGAAAAAAAACAGAAGAATTTCGAAAAAGTAGTGAAAAGCAGAACTGAAAACAGTGCCACGAACTACACAGCGCACACAGCAAGCGATCTGATTTGATATAAACCTTCTTTCCAACTGTTGGACGGTCCCTCACCTGGCGCCTGATCGGATATCTGATTGGTGAGTTTGGCTCGCATCATTTTAGCCAGAAATAGGACGTTTCGCTTGATCCACTTAACGAAACGTGCTATTCGATCGATCGCCTCTGTGATCTTGTTCGTATCGTTGTCCGCGGTCGGCGCCGAAAGATTCGACGAGCCGAAGTTGCTCAGCAACAAGGCCAAGAAAAGATTCAGCACCTATTTCGTCACAGACACAACGCAAACATTCCTTCGTAATTCCCGTGTCAATGGCTGCCGCGCGGCTGGTTCGTTCAAATACACTTGGTACACATAATTGGCAAGGGATTTTCGTGGAGGGTCGTTTCAAGGTTAGTCGAGGAGATCATTGGATACATTCGCATTCTTTGGTGATCATGATATGATAATCTGTAGTTTCCTCGTTGCTGTGTCTATGTCGTTATGGAAATTCGAGAAACTTCTGTTGCCAGGAAATTATGTGAGATTATTTTTGATAGAGTTTTTTTGGTAATCTGTGGTTTCCTCGTTGCTGTGTCTATGTCGTTATGGAAATTGGAAAAGCTTCTGCTGCCAGGAAATTATGTGAGCTTATTTTTGATAGTTCGTTCCTCGTTTTAAGAGACCAATCATTGCTCGATTTAGATGAATACATAGCAATGGAGACATGAAATATTTGTGAATACACACGATGAATGTCTAGTGTTTTCAAGAAGTTTCCGTAGACTTAGAATATAATACTGTCAAGATGATTTCTTAGATTTATTAGTAGACTGCGGATTTTTATGCATTTATGAGAAATTTGGAAGTGCAAAATTGCACAGAATGCATACGATGCGAAAAAGTATATAAAGTATCGAAAGTTTAGTACTTTTCATGACATTTGCCAGGAAAAACCATTTCCCATTATAATTCTTTTCTAATTACATTCTTGAAAATTTGAATTTCCATAAAGATCCATAGTCTACTCATTAATGTACAGTTTACTGAACTTCCAATATGGCGGAAACTCCCTGGAACCACTATTATATGTGTTCTCTTCCCAACGAATGATTTGTTCATTTTCTCTGTGCTCAGTGAATGTCTGCGCGTATTCGTGTCGAAGATTATCCTACCATTTTGGAGGGAATAATAAATAGAGTTAATAAATAATACCGTAGTCTATTACTTGGCTCCCTGCTTGCGTATACTTACAACCAAATTACCGATGACGACCGTGGCCAGGAAGAATGGTATGCAAGAGACATCGCCCACAAGCATACAGTCCCACATAGACTCGATCCATTCTCCGCACAACACGCGAAAAACGATCATGAACGAGTGCATGAAATCGGTGAAATTCCATCTCGGTAGATCGCCGTCCGGGAAACGATCCACGTTATCCGTGTAATTCTTGCCGAACAGCTGCATACCCATCACGGCGAATATGAAAATGATGATGCACAACACGAACGTCAGATTACCCAACGCGCCCACCGTTCTGCCCATGATGGAGATCAGCAGATTCAACGTAGGCCACGATTTCGCTAGTTTGAACACTCTTAGCTGCGGAATAATTATACTTAGTGAATCCACATGATCAGCTATATATATTTCTAAGAAGTAAATACAGCAATGACAGTCACGTATCATCGATTTCATTTCACCCTGCCACGACTTGGTCATTTAAAGATCTTTTTGTGTGAATTGTTCCGGTAGATTCAAAGTAGTAGATTTGATGCTTTCACGGTTTGAGTTGTTACATTGAAACTTGGTTTTAGAGTGAGAGTCGTGGCCGGTAGGAAAATGTTCCTTATGATTCGCCATCATTGCAGCTGGCTTTAGCAGTGGGATCAAACACACTGATAATGATGTATATTATGGACTATCTTTATATAGATAAATACTGTAGGAATCTTATGTTAAGCAAGTTGGCCAGTGGCTCAGAAGTGAAGAATATGGAGCCGTCATTACTGTCAGACCGAGTGTCATAAGTGGAAGAATCTCCTTGCCCCTTTTCATTTCTAAGCCACAGGCTGGCTTGGTTAACGTGAGATCTCTACAATACCTTGCTCACGTTCTGGACCAAAGAGCACCATTAGTTTTTTAGTTAGACAGCTGAACAATTAGAAAACTAATGGTGTTCTTTGATTCCTATAACACCTTGCTCATGTTCTGGATCAAAGAGCACCACTAGTTTTTTAATTAGGCAGCTGAACAATTAGAAAACTAATAGTGTTCTTTATTATCAGTGTATCTTTGACCTACTATTATTATTAGTGTGTCTTTGACCTCACTGATGAAGCCAGCTGCAATGATGATGGAACGTTGGGAACATTTTCCTACCGGAAACGGCTCTCACCTGAAAACCAAGTTTCAATGTAACATTCAAAGTGAGAAGTATTAACAACTGAATTGACAATTGCTTCTGAATCAATGATTTTTTCGAAAGATTATCGCTTTTAACCTCTTTTCATGTAGAAATAGGTATGGGATTAAGATTAATAAGTTTAGAAGGTCGTGGCAGCGTCAAATGTCGTGGAGAATATTTCGTTAGTGAAGTAATAACTTGTAGAAAGGTATGTATAGTGTGACGAGTTTGAAAAGATTTCTGTGACGAGACATAGGTTTCCAGCGTTGTTACGGTTCGTTGATTTTTCAACTCGAAGGATCAGTATTTTCTGGTGGCCATGATGGAATCCTTGGACATCCGACTTTTGAATCGCGCCACTGTCTTAGGTATCTTTTCAAACTGATCTGGCTTGTAATTGTTAATTAAGAAAGTGGTGACTTACTAATCTGAACGATCGTAACACGGAAAGACCTTGCACACCTTCTAAGCCTAACTCCAGCAGCGAGAGAGCGACGATGATAAAATCGAAAATATTCCATCCTTCTTGAAAGTAGTACTTGGGACTCATTGCGATTAGCTTCAGCGTTGCTTCGATACCGAATGTAGCCGTGAAGAACTGGAATTGCATAGAAAATATTTCAATCAAATCTCACAATGTATGTTCAATTGAATTTCAAATGAAAATTTCATAAAGAATATTTCAATTGAATCTCATAATCTACGTTGCCTTGAATTTCAAACTGGAATTTCGTAGAAAATATTTCAATCGAATCTCAATATCTATGCTGACTTGAATCTCAAATTGAAATTTCATAGAAAATATTTCAATCAAATTTCACAATCTATGTTGAAATGAATTTCAAATGAAAATTTCATAAAGAAAATTTCAATTGAATCTCATAATCTATGTTGACTTGAATCTCAAATTGAAATTTCATAAAGAATAGTTCAATCAAATCTCACAATCTATGTTGAATTGAATTTCAAACTGAAATTAGAGCACTGATCTTTCATAAAATATTACTTTCAAGTAAAATCGATTTTATAATTACCCTTCAAAAACTTTTCCAATTGATCGTGTGTCTCAATCTAATTTTTAATCTCCGATTGAATTTATACGAGTATAAAGTATCATGGACTGAATTGCTTACGTAATTTCCGGTCTTGAGCACCCGTTCCATGTCCTTGTCCATGTCGTGATGATCCAACGCCATGAAAAGTGTGTTGACGACGATACAAAGGGTGATGAAAAGCTCTACGAATGGATCGAACACCAAAAGAGACACGTATTTTTGAAACTCAAGCCACAACCAGCAGCAGTCCCACACGCAAAAGATATCGATGCAACGCAGCACCGCGGCCAACAGTTTGTCCTTGAATGTGGGCCCTTCTTCATCGTCGTCTGTCGGAAAGTAATAGGTCGAAGCTGTAACGCGTGTTAGTAATTTTGTCTGGCACCACTCTTTTTGGGGAAAGAGGTTTTAGTTTTATTTAGTTTTTCGCTTAGTTTCTCGTTCATCAAGCTTGTTCTTTGTTTCAGACCACAGATTACGTACGAACAGGCAGGTGCATGTAGCAGAAACGAAACGGAGAAGGAAACGAAAGTAAGTAGAGAGTTCGCATTGCTTGTAAAGCGGCTAAGAAGAAGAAGAGATCCTTTGCGATTGCATACAGAGGCTTACAGATCATTTCTTTTAATAGAAGTACAATAAAATCTTATTAACATAAACGTGATCACTTTGAAAATCCACACTTTAAACGGTTTCTTTACAGGAATGTTAATTTGAAGTTCAGTTTCTCATTAAAGAAAATGTTTGTTCATTGAAGATATGAATTTATAATTAACACTAGAATTAAACAAAATGAAAATGATAACAGATGATGACAATTATTGATATCTTAAAAGCATGGAATATTAGAAATGATCTTGAAAATAAATAGTTTCACTTGAATGCCATAATGAATGTCTGAATAAACTGAAAATAATGTATTGTTGCAATTTTTATAAAAGTTACATATTAATCGTATTAATTGTTCAGTAGTTCTAGTGTAATTAACTATCAAATGGCTAGTTTCTTTTGTTTAGCAATAATTGATATATTCAATGCATTGACTATTAGAAATGATCATGAAAATAAATAGTTTCACGTGAATACTATAATGAATGTCGGACGAAACTGAGAATAATCTATCGTTACAATTTTTATAAAGATATAAATACATATTAATCATATTAAATACTCGGTAGTTCTAGTGTTAAGTCATAAAATTCTATGTTCAAGTATTACATTTCGTTTTCATTAAGCGATTCAAAGAATCGTAACAAAACTCTGTGAGGCCCTGTGTGTATGAGATGCAAGCAGCGAGAACGCACACGCGATAGCAGAGAAGCACTATCAAGGGACTGACGTAACTAAATTAGCGAAACACAAAATGCGAATGCTGTACAGACTTGTTGTGACCAAACGTAGACTATATCCGCTCGAAAAATGTGCTTCCTAAAAGAAAAACTGAAACGAAGAAACCTTGAACAAACTAAATCGAAAGAAATGATTGAAATCACGTTAATCCTTAACTGGTACGATTTCGTTCGGTCTCCTCAATTATAATAAATATCTTCAATCCAGTAAATCTAAACAAAATATTAGAAAAATGAAACTGAAACGAGTCATCGAGTTCCTAAATGTAATGTCGTAGTTTTTCATTTCTAATAACAAAATCCATAGGATTCATTTCGTTTTCATTATTTAAACAAAAATTAAACTGAAACGGAATCATTGGGTTCCTAAATATACTGTCGTAGTTTATAATTTCTAATAACAATATCCATAAGATTAATTTCATGTTCATTATGTAAAATATAGGATTACGGCCGTCACAAATATGCGACGCTACTAGCGAACGCGTTAGTCAATTGTTATTTCCTTCCACCAGTTAAGGGTAAACTTTACACGAAAACAAAAGAGAACGTCATATGATAAATTTCATCTAAGAAACGAGCGCACTTAACGCAACGAAAGAAAACGGTAAACAATGGAATACTGAATCTACCCTTCGATAACCGCCATGTTGGATATTGCAGCAGCGGAAACTTCCACGTCGAAGCGGCCGTAGTGCGACTATGTTTGCGTGCGTCTTTGATCCTCGCTAATTCTGAATTGGTAAGCTCTAATCGCGATCTCTAGAGCATGGGGACGAGAAGTGACATGTCGTAGCTTTTTGGTGAAGCTTCTCTTTGAAGTCTACTCTCTTGTTGTGCAGCTGAGGCGGACGCGGCGGTGCCCTCGACACGGCGAAGCGAGTGTCGTTACGAAAACTCATGATGTATCAACGAACTAAAATCCGCTGCAGTTCTAAAGACGATCAAGAGACAGCTCGGCACTGCTGTTGCTAACTCTACTCATTACTTTCCACAAAATCAATCTTTTTCTGCAGAATAATCTTGCTACCTATAAAAAGAGGAACTTAAAAACGTATACTTAATATTTCCTTTCTCACCTAATTTGCCATTTCAATGTCTACTCTAGCATTTAAGTAGTCACACGAATTTCTTTATTGTATTCTTTGTAAAAGGGGCTAATAGCCGTAATACGTACATCAAAATAGAATACTCGTGTATTTTATTATGAATGCTGCCGTTGTGCAATATAAAAATGGTAAAAGTTAGCGGTACCACTACAATAACAGTCTGTGATAAATTTAATCTGTTACTTAGTAGTTTCATCGTTACACTTGTACATTTCCGTGCCTCTTAACACTTTACCGGCGAGTATCAGGTTCTACTGCATTTTCATAATATTTTATAACTTTGTAATAGATCTAAGCTGTCGCGATTCGAAGGCAGCGACAAACAGTTTCAAACTAACAGAGGAAGCATTCGCTTAACCCCCTACCCTATGAGTTCTCAATTGTGATCGGTACAACTTTGTCATTAATTTATTAGGAAAAGATCAAAATTCGATGCATATTCTATGTCCTTTACTCTAAACTACAACAAATAATAGCGGAAAAATAATATCTCATTTGAATTTAGAAGAATCGAGTAATATTTATGTTAGTTAAATTCCGTTTAACACTAAAATTACCAGATGGCTCAAAACGATCCATTCCCGAATTCTTCTTCTCGAAATTATTAAAAAGATACAGATGCTTCTCTGGGAAATTATTAAAGAAACTGATGTAGCTGTACTCAAACTGAATTGTAAATCAATTGAAGTATCAATAGATACTCTTGGAGTTTCTACAGATGAATTTCGAAAAGTCAGTTTAACTGTTCGGTAGTTTTAGTGTTAAAACCTTCACGAGTCCCACACGTTTTTTTAAGGCAAGGGGTTCAAAGATTTGAGCAAAAGACGATCTGATAAATTAAGAAGGAAGAACAGTGGAAACAATTGTTTCTCAAAAATAGCATCGATATATATTCCTATACAAACATCAGAATGACAAAATAGCATCACCGCTAGCGAAAAGAAAGAAGTGACGCGTGACAGTAGCCGATAATAGTTGCCGAAAAGAAGTCGCGTGTACGTGATAGCAGCCGGTAAAGTGTTAACTGCCGATCCCCGGAACTGTCTCTTAGCCGCCACCGTCTATCAAATGTAAAATGGAAAGCGGAATCCAGGCACGAAGCGACCGGGATGTCGTGCAGCTGCAGCGAGGATGTTAATCTGTGTCATATACCAGGAAACAAACTCTGTTTCCCCAAAAGAAAACTACTACAAACTGTTCTCACTCCATCCAACGAGTTCGAGGGGCTTACACGCGCTGCGGTTATTTAGAATCACGAATATTAATCGTCGACGAATGTCTCGGCGGTGTCTCCTCTTTACTTTTTCAGCGGCGGCATAAACGAGGGTAATCCTGCGCAATACCACCGGTCAGTGTAAAAGAATCACAAGGATATACGTGACACGCACTCCTTTTCTCGGGAGTTCTCTTGGTTCGTGTCTCTTTTCTTTTTCTCGTTTGGCACAATCATCAAATGAAATCGAAGGAACGAACAAAAACAAAAGAAGACCACACGAAAGAAAGTAAAGGATTCGGTCTACTATGTACAAGGCGCTCAGACAAAAATCTTCAGCACTGAATATCAACGGGATAGAAAGGAGTACAAGAGTTTTAACAACGGTGTACATCAAAGAAAATAGGATGCTCATCACACAAGAGATACACATCGGTGATTAGAGGGTGTTCAACTGGAAGAAACAGTGTGAGCGAGATACGGATGGTGACTCGACATTACCTCCTTGCTCGGGAGTACGGCTTTGGCGGCCCGCGGCTTGCTCTATAATATCGTTCAGCACCATCACGTCTGAAAGGAGAATATAGAAGTAATTCTATGATCTGATTATGGTGTGTATATAGGATGTTAGAGGGTTATTTAGGGGGCGTACTATAAGTATTAATTGATATCTTTGCTTTGAATCATATTAAGAATGCTTGAATCTGAGGAATTTTGTTATAACTGCTTTCTTTGGTTGTCTGTTTTTCGTCAATTAGAAAAGATTACAATTATTTTTACTTATAATACTCCAATAATTGATATCTTCGTTCTCAGATAATATTAACCCCTTGTCCTATGATTTATTTATTTCTATGATCGACAGAACTTCTTCGTTAATAATTTATTAGGAAGAGGCGCAATTTTTATGATTATTCTATGTTTACGTTTCCTTCAAAGGTTAATGAATAATAACAGAATAGTAATATTTAATTGATATTTAAAAAATATAAACAACACTTAAATTTCGCAAATTCAGTGCGAAATTATCGTCACGAGTCTAACACGATATTGTAGATGAAGGGGTTAAGAACATTTGAATCTTTTGAATTTTGTCACAGCTACGTTTTCTACATCCTGTTTTCGTTCAATCGAGGAAAAATGACAGTTGTTTCTACTGATAATATCCTAGTAATTATTACCTTTACTTCCGGATAATATTGAGGATATATAATAGTAAATCATGTTCTACCTTTCATGTCGACCACGGCGTGTTGTTGAGAAGGCTCTATAAACGGATTGTCTTGTTGCTTCGCCTTGCCCATGGGATCGTCCAGATCACCCTCCTGTAGACAGATCACAGTGTTTATTCTCTCCAGCTTCTAATCCAAATAAATAGCATGTGAAACACAGTTGCACAAATGTGTAATTCGTTTGGAGAAGAACATCTTCGGTCCAAAGAATTCCTCAGACGACAGAGGCTAACATTGCTTGTAGACCAAAAACAGAATAAAAAGAACCAAAACTTCATCAAGCTCCATGCATTATTCCCGGCAGCTTCTACAAGCTACAACAGCTCCAAAGTCCGCAGTTCATCAGTTACACATTCTTCCGAGTGCCAATTCTACACGATACTGCGGAAAATTCGAAAGTGCCAAGCGGCGCGATCGCGCTCCTTTCGTTTCAATCCAGAAACTCAATGACTTTTCCATTTTCACACAAAAGAATTCTAAACAGCGCGATCGTACCGTTCCTACATTTCTAACCAGACTATAACAAAAATAACAATAACTAATTCGAAGGAAAACAGACGAATAAACTTAATCTAATCCCACGGGTCGATAGGCTGTCACTTTTAGACAATGTAAAGGCCCCCATAAATACAAAACATACAGCGATAGGTTTCAACCTTTTCCCTTTTGTTCGAAGGCAACATATATAACCTTTCAAAGACTCGAACCCATCGCTTCTAGCTACATAATCGCAGGTTTCAACAAATACGGGAGCCTCCACGGAGAACCATCGCGCCGCTTGCCACGGAAACAGTGAAGGATACGAAGGTGCGCTTGTCGAGGCACGGCACTCACATAATGGTACTTCTGATTGGAGTCCGTGAAGTGTCCATTGACGGAGGGCGGCCTGACCGATCTGATCCTCAGCTGGCTCTCCTTGGTCATCGGTTTGCCGGCGTTCGCCAGCCCGCCGATCAGGTCGCCGTGGGACGTGTACGAGAACCGCGAGGTGTGCGAGGTGTACGACGAGTGCCTAGAGCCAAGATTCGCATAGTAACCGGACACCACGATGATACCGTTCTCCTCGGACATCGGCGTGACCGCGTTCGAGTCGTCCGCGTACGGCAGGTGTTCCTGCGCGTCGAGGAACGTCGACAGCACCAGCGGCTTCCGGTCGCCGCCGGGCGGCGTCACGAAACGGCCGCGGCCATTCCTAATAGCGAACTGATGGCTGCCGCGGCTGCTTCGGCGTAGATTGAACGGTGAGCCGGGCAGGCTAAGGCTCGCCTGGAATTACAACAAGGCGGACCACCGCTTTTCTCTAATCACCGTTCTCTCGTCGTTCCACCGGAAGAATGGACGCGGATTTAAGGAACAGGATCGTTAAAGGAATAAGATCGGACCGGTAAACCTTAGGATGCGGCTCTCTCTCTATACCACCTCGAGCGGGGACAATCGCGATAAGCGACTGATTTCGTTTTATCGTCGACTATCGAAACGCTCGGGCGCGACGAGCATTGCGTGCTCGAAAAGCGCAGCCTTCTTCAGCGACCTCTTTCCTCATCTCTCATCCTCCTATCCCTCGAGATATTCGAACGGTGGGCGCTATTCAAGCTGGCTAGTAGTAGGGTATGTGAATGCCTCCCCGCATCACGGCGCAGTTACTCTCTGTACAGCGGTTGGCAGCGAAAGGCTTTGCTTTTTGCTCCGGTTCGCACGGGTCGTCGTTACCGATTAGAATCGTCCGGCAATGAATCTGACTATTTCGTTTCGGTGTTCGTTTACCGGGTATCTAAACGGAGGTTGCAGGTTATCAGAAGATTGTCGTTAAATTATTCGTTCAAGCTTCGATCTTGGAGCTGGGTGGTTCTTGTTCTTTTCTCGAATGGTTGGGTACGCTCGAATGAGACTAACTAAGACGTTCTTAATTATAGTGGGTGTTCAGTGTGATGCGACAAGATGGCCGTCGGTTGATATACGCGCGGACTGTGAGGGCTACGGTGAGAGGAGGAATTCTATGATGCTCGCATGTAACGGCTGATGTGAGTCTGAATTGGATCATGATAATCTTTCCACCATCCCGACACGTCAAACATACGGACGTATTGACATGATTTCGGCATCATGGATGTCGCTGTGTACAGCTAGGTAAAGTACGTACGCTCGCCGGTGACGGACACGGTCGTGACACACGTACCTTCCGCGGGCTTTCCTGGTAGGCATAAGTAAACTGGCCATTAGCGGCGCGAGAGACCTTAAGAAAAAAACAAGAAAAGACATCTCCTACCAAACGGCTCGTAACGTGGTCTAATTGTGTACACCAAGGAGGCACTCGATACGGATATATATGTATATGTATATATCTATGTATATATATATATATGTATATAAAGAAAATGTACAAGAAAAGTATGTTTCATGTAGACAGCTAGCAACAAGCGCAACAATGACACAGAGCAAGGTCGGTTTCGCATTACGCGGAGGATGATTTTACAGCTTGCCGCGGCGGACTGGGTTACAGAGATGTTTTTAGAATTCGTGGCTCAAGAAATGGAGACACGAAGATCGGTATGGTCTTCGATTTTGGGCTTGGTGTCCTTTCATTGATCATTCTTGAACAAAGTAATTTGAGCAATTTCCTTCGAATAGGATGAATCCTTTGCATTCGAGAGGCGACTCATCACTTGATTTGATGCAGTAAAACTATCAAATTTGATATTTAACCCCTTGGCGTACTATTTACTGTTACTACTAAGCTCGTGTAATATTTTACTATCGACAATTTGAAAGAAATGCAAGGAAATTGTCCATTCTACTTCAAACGGACATTTCATTTGAAGATCATAAATTGATAATAGCAAAATAGTTGGTTGCTTTGATCCGTGGGTAATGAACAACATTGATTGTTGTTAAATCAGTCTAGAAATCTTCGTCGCGAGTCTCACTCGTTATTGTACGACAAGAGGTTAACAACAATCGATGTTGTTCATTACCCACGGATCAAAGCAAACAACTATTTCGCTGTCATCAATGTATTATCTGTATTTCTGTCGTCCATCGATTTCAAAGTAATCAACGTGTTAAACGAGTCTCTAACACAAGTTTCTTTCTCGCTTATTTTCAATCACTTTGAAACCAACCATATTTACCGCCCAACAATTCGTATCTCCCTTCTCGGCTAGAACACATGCGGTTCGCATGCAAGACAGCACAATGACGATCAAGACGACTGTTCACGTGGATGTAGCGTCAGACCTGGTTTCTGTTACGCGTAGAGCCGCGAGCGACACGTAAAACTTAAACGAGCCTCAAGCTCAGCGTTACAGCTGGGAAGACAAACTGCGAGTAAATGAACATAACGAAAACAAGATGTCTGAAAGCGTCCTAACAATGGTACCGTTACGGTAAGCATGCTACAGAGCGACAGACTTTAATGGAACGGCTCGACTCGTCGAGGTAAGCGAAACGATCCTTTTCAGTATCTTTATTCGTGAATCATCTTAAGCTGGCGGTTTCCAACCTTTATACTACTACGTTCCCTTAAAAAAATTGCCTCTTCTGCGCCTCCCCTATCTTTTAACCCTTTGCACTCGAGAGGTGACTATCACTCACTTGATTTCATAAAGTAAAACTACAAAATTTGATTCTTTATATAACACTTCGTATGACGCATTCAATTTGAGAAATATTGAAATAAAATAGCATTGTTCTTCCATATTATCACTCGTTAACCTTTGGAGTAAATGTTTAAGTTTATAATTTTTTTTATAAGATTTTTTCCTTAATAAATCATTAACTATAAAGTATGTATCGATCATATTTAGGAAACAAATTATAGTGCAAGGGGTTAATAGTTTGATATCAGTTCTCGCGGTACACTATTATTTAGTTGCTCGTGTTATTGAATATTTTCATTCAACATCAGTTTCCTTGGTATAATTGTCTTCGAACATTCTAGTAGCTCCAGTCATCGATGACCATCATAGCAATCAACGTGTTAATAGATATAATAATATAGACACGTTTGAAATAGTAACTTTATTACAAAACATTACTTCACTGAATGTCTACTGTTACGTTACGATATGAAGTTTCTAGATATTATGGTATGAAGATTAACTTTTCATTAAAAATTTTGCTGCCTCCCCCGACAATAGTCCGCGTTTCTCAGGTTGGGAACCGCTGTAAGCTATCGTTCATTGCAATTCCTCGAATCCTTCGCAACAATATCTTCCTTCCATCCGAAGCTCGTAAGCTCGCCACCAAGTTCCTTCAAGTCCACTTCACAGCCTAAGGTACCACTTCATTGATCTATCCTCTATCCTTCTAGCCTTGCTGCTAGACGAACACTTGCCGCCTTCATCATCCCGAACTCATTCAGTGAAACCGTTACATGGATCATCAAGTCCTTAAACTGTCAACATTCTATTCTTGCTACGGTCAAACTTTGCATAGGGTGTTTCATAAAGGGAGAGAAGTTTATGCGAAAACTTGTATTCCTCGTCGGAAACTTTCTCTTTATTATGCAGTTGTTTACTTAGATACCTAAGCCTTCGTGTCCTGAATTATAGTCTCGTGTTCTACCGTTGCTTCCGTTTGAGATACTTTAACCCCTTGCCCTATGACTTTTCCCAATCGCGTTCAATAGAGACATTCTATTGTTCGTAATTCATTGGAAAAAGAGGAAAATTCTACACTTGTCTCATGTCTACATTTACTTAGAAAAAAAATAAGAAAAATAATATTCAATTCGGAGTTGGAAGAATTATGATATTTATATTTGTTAAACTCTATTGGAAATCTTCACCACGAGTCTGCCACGATATTAGGACAAGGGGTTAAGGCCGTTCACGAGAAACACTTTTCAAATATTTAACCCTTTGCGGACGAATGTCGACATTTCGACGAGATGAAATTTTCATATTTGGAAGTCCAAGTCGTAAACAAATGATTTAATTACTCGAATAGCAAGAGATCAGCACGTAGTTTTCTATTTTTCTAATGTTCAAGTAATTGATATATAATTTAGCTTCATCTGTCGATGGTTTTGTATATTTCAGAGAATCTTCGTCCGCAAAGGGTGAAAACGGTACTTTCGAGCATCTTCAGGACATGGAGGATTAACACTTCGACTGCCACGTTAGCCAAATTTCGGTGACGCCACTTTTTACGTAACTTTAACACGTTGATTGCCACGAGAATTTCTAGCGTTTTGAATAGAAATATTTATTCTTTATAACAAAGGCAAATGATATTGAAAATAATGATTAATGATTTAGTATCACAGTAGTCGTATTATGCTATCTAGCTACTTATGTTACTAAATGTTTTTATTTAAAATCAAGTTTTTTATTGTAATTGTTCTTCAGCAATTTGGAAGCTCCGGTCATCGGTGACCACCGTGGCAGTCAACGTGTTAAACATTCATTTTCCTAATAACGATATCTGACGAATCGAATGTTGGATATATGAGATATAAGAAAGACAATAGAGCAGTTGTTTTAAAGAATTTTCATTTTTTAGTTTCTGCTTCATTAGGAGAATTTTGATGTTATTTTGCTTGCCAGTCGAAGTGCTAACTTGTACCTATTCTAGTTTATGATACCACTTTATTGGGAAAACAACGGATTATTTATCATTAATGTAATGTTCAACCCTTTGTGATCGGTGTCACAGTGATTATCTCTTCTTCTGGGTAGTATTATTTAACAATCAGGAGCTGTTATAAGTACTTATTATTCTCTACAGTACATATATTCAACAAAATACATTAACTTAACACATTGCGCGCCGGCTCCGCGACAGTGAGTGATTTTTCGTCTATCGTTTAATTGCTAGTCCCATATTATTGTAACATTTTAGATATATACAAGAAAAATCCAAAGTAAAATTACAAAATCGAATTCTTCATTCCTTTTCGTAAGTTAAAAATCTCGGTTTGATCGATATTTCAAAATATATCAATATAATCACCGACGTTCGCGTTTCTAGAAGTTGAAATTTAGCTGGCGTACAATGTGTTGAAAAAATAATCCATATATTTACTGTAAATTACCTATAGAACAAATCTATAGAGAAATAACTTTAAAAATCTATATTTGCTTCGACCAGTTGGTAATGTCGCCAGAAGAATGTGCCGATCGTAAAGGGTTAATAACGATAAGTGACCTGTCTAAGAAGAACATTCTCTGTTAGCGAAGATTATTCTTATTGGGAAAGATTTCACATAAAAGTGTCTCTTCCTCTATCGATCACCCTGAGTTCAATATACCGACGAGTCGAGTCAAGATCGAGACAGCCTCGCGTGAACTGTTCTCGTGGAAGCGAGGTCGGGGAATTAAGTTAATAGGAACCACGTACATTACGTCAAGGGAGGACAAATCGATGGTAACGTCGCCGGTCAGATACTTACGGCGCTGACTTTTCGTACTTTAGTGGTGGTCGTGTGGTTGTTGATCTGTTTCACCCTATCGGACTCGATCGAACGTATGCTCATCCTCTCCTTGTTGTTGTCGTCGTTCCCTCGCTCCTGGCCGACGAAGAGCTCGTAGCTCTGGCATGAGAAATTCGACGGCGACTTGACGATCTGGTCCGCGGCGTGGGAGGCAGCGGCTGCCGCCTCCCTAGCTGCCGCTTGCGCCGCTAGCCTGTTCTCTTTCGCCAGAGCTGCCTCTTCGGCTTCCTGTTTGTTCGTCGATCAGAAAAGATTACGATTATTTTTACTTATACATTCATATCTTTGGTTTAAAATAATGTTAAAAATGTTTGAGTCGGAGGAATTTTGCTATAGCTGCCTCCTTGGTTTTCTGTTTGTTCGCCAATTAGAAAAGATTACAATTATTTTTACTTATAATACTCCGATAACTGATATCTTCATTCTCAAATAATATTAAGAACATTTGAATCTTTCGAATTTTGTCATTGAATTTTGTACCTCTTCGACTTCCTGTTTTCGTTCAATCAAGAACAAATGATAATTATTTCTACTGATAATATCGTAGTAATTGTTACCTTTGATTTCGAATAATATTGAGAACACATAATAGTAAATCATGTTCTATTCGCAAGATATGAATACAGCATATGTTTCAATTGTGGAGAATTAAGCGTTATCATGATCCTTGTGTGATCGAATGAATTTGATCAGCGTACCCTTATAGCTTCCTCTTCGGCAGCCTCTTCTTCCTCAGCTTTCTTTTGCAACTCGTCGTAGGACATCGCGACAATGGCGAGAATCAAGTTGACAAGATAAAATGAGCCAAGAAAAATGATCACGATGAAGAACAACATGTGCCACGGTCCGGCCGATCTTAGTACCAACTGATACAAGTTCTCCCAGTAGTCTTGAGTCATCAGACGGAAAGCGGAGAGTAAGGCCCAGCCGAAGGTGTCGAAACTCGTGTAACCGTAATTCGGATTGTCGCCGTATCCTTGTAAACACGTGTAGCCAGGAAGGCACTGCCTGCGATACGGAACAAACATCATTAAACACATCAAACAAGTTATAACCATGCTAACCCTTTGCACTCGAGAGATGATTCTAATCATCACTTGATTTGATTTGCAAAATTAGAAAGTCTTACATATAATATTAAGCTCTGTATGATGCATCAATATATGGAATATTGAAATAGAATGTTTTCTCATTAATTAGTTTCAAAGAACATCGTCTGCATTTCATCAGAGAATGTTGAATATTTCTAGTAAAACACTTTCGAGTGTAAAGGGCTAAACCAACTTTTAAAAAATGATTAAACTCTTAACAGGCGAGGATTTTTTCCAAATATCCAACATCTTCGACAGAGAAAGTTAAACTATGTGAACTTAGAATACTAGCAAACTGATCTTTTGTTCCTCAAATAATTAAATTAATATATAATTATTAAACATTCTTAATCCTAGATTTACGAAACCCGTCAATGTGACGGGCATTGAATCTTTTCAATATTATTCAGTAACAATTTAAGTCGATTCTGATTTGTGTAATTATATGAATACATATTGCAATACTCTAGCTTCGAAGCTAGAATCTCCGCGTAGTTTTCTAGGGCCAACAGAACAAAGTATAGAATAAACGTTCGTAAATGTAGTGTTAAGTAACGTTCGTTCTATATTCGTCTCTATCTTCTTAAACTAGTAAAAATAATAAACAACGAAAGTTACCCTGCTCCAGATGAATTTCCACACAAGGGCATATTTTTCGCCTCGTCCACGTACCAATTAGCTAGAGGGAAGAACAGAAATGAATTATTCAGAACGAAAGCTCACGATCCGCGTCGCGCAGAGTGGTCTAATTAGAAACAGGGATAAACAGACGGAAACGTCGATCGTCATCTACATACTTTCGTTACTAACGAATCGCTCCCAGTTTTCGTCGGTGAGATTACCCCAGGAGCCGTCCTCAGGAAAGTTTTTTATACACTTTTGCGTGAGAACCCCCATGTAAATCTGGAGGCCCATCAGCGCAAAGACGGAAAGAGAGAACATCGTCAGGATTATCACATCGCGCAGGTTCTTCACGGATTCTATCACAGCGCCGACAATGGTTTTCAGACCTAGACAACGAGAGAAAAGGACAGTGGGCTCAGTCGGGTATTCCGTAAGCTTCAGCTGTCAGACTTTGACAGACCGCTTTCGTTTCAGCGTGTGGAAAGAGGTGATGAACTGAGTCGAAGATGATTGGACGATTGACGATCGTTCAGAGAATTATTCGGGCGGACACGTTGGATGCAGAGAAACGGGGATGTTCAATGGTAAACCTGAACGTTGGGGCAACATTAAATCGATGATCAACCGTGAAACATTGATCGACGTATCGGATTTTTGGGATGGTTCTGTCGCTTTTCCGAATATTCCGTGCAACGATTCTCTACGTTCGATCACTCGCGACATAAAGAAATTTTCTCTGTCTTCTTGGGTGCACGTGCTTTCGGCTAGATCACGTAACCGCAATCGCGGCGAATTGGGTAAATTTTCCGAATTGCACACAAGAATTTCAGGTAATTGATCGTTACTGCGGACAAAAGCTTAACTAGCAATGCAACAGACATCCTATTCGGTGTTCCAGTATTTGTTCGTGTACTGTTTCTCGATCAGCTTCGAATGTATTTACCTAATTGTCATACGAAAACCACAATTGTGCTGTAATTACGAGAAAAGATACCAGTAGTATATACACTAAAAAATAGCGAAGCACAAGCTACCACAGAAATGAAACATTACGTTACGAGTGGAATAAGACGGAAGAGACCCAGCAGTGTATCAGTTAAAAACGAGACGAAACTGAACGGTGTTTCCATTAATGAAGCAACTTAAGCGGTTTCGATTGGCGGCAACCCAAAGCGTCTAACATGGCGGACGGGACGGCCCGGCGTCCGCCATGTTTCTTTGGTTTCCCAGCGCGACGCTACGATAGGTATATGTTTTTAACCAATAGGACTGTTCGAGATCGTGGATCACCTGTCGTTAATGACAAGAAAGCGACAGAACACTCCCGCGGAGCCCAATAATTCGATGAATGACTCGATATGCCGATGTAATGAGCGCGACAGATAGAAGGCTGATGAGACAAAATGGCGGCGTGGCGATAGAACAGATCAGAAAGTAGAACAGGCGTTAATATCGGTGATGTGATTTGCGAGAGATAGAGAGATAGAGAGATAGAGAGATAGATGTGTAACAGCGACCGCGACAATTGTGTTCTATGACCTCTAATAAGTATATATATATATATATATATATATCTGCGTCTACGACCAATTTCTATTTCACTAAGCATACCTGGTACAATAGCGACAGTCTTCAAGGCTCGGAGGACTCGAAATGTCCTGAGAGCGGCAAGGTTGCCTAGATCTATGCCCATCGTCACATAACTGCAATACACCCGAACATCACACACATTACAGTGATACAAACAAAAAAACAAAACGTTAGAAAAGATAGTTGAGGATAATTAAAAACGTTTACTCAAAGGGTTTTACTCGCTACTGTTCCTATGGCCTACCAAAAGTCTGCTTGGTATAACTGCGTGTATCGTAAGATAGCTATTACTGCATGCACGATGGAAATTTAATGTCGCGGCAACACGAGAACCACCGGTTTCGTTTTCTCCATTGATTCGGGGAATTCAACGGACGACGGTGCCTGGTTTCAGCAAAACGGAAACTTGGATGTTGTTTCTATATACCTAAGTACACTGATCCGTATGAAAATGGCAGTGCCATTAGATTTCAATGCTCCAGCCTTCCCAGTTTGCAATTAAGAACTTAACACGTTCGCGAATGTTATATTCATCTTCATTGTCAAGTCAAATGACTTGGATGCTACAACGTTCAAATTTATAAGCATTATTACGCATTTAATTCTACATAGCCTTCATTTTTGGAAATTGTCACGCATTTTAACTGAAGAACTGAGAACTGAATCTGCTTTTTTCTATTTTTACAGCTTATTAAAATTTTACTGTTTGTGAACGTGTTAAGTATGCGCAGGCATCACCGTTTGTTTGTTCTTTGATAGTATCTGACGTCTGGTCAATCCATTAGCTGCCAAGCGGAATATTTAAATTTTCTACGTTTATATTCTATGTTTAATATTCCGTCGCTGTAACAAGAATCGACTTTATATTCGTGTTTTCATCTTATTATTGACACAATCTCCGTCTACATTTTTGAATCTGGAACTGAACATTCGTATTTGCAATGAAATTACTGTATAAGGTTGGTTAAGATTCCTCAAGTTTTAAGAATAATTAATTTACATAGGAAAAGATTCGAGTTCTCGTGGACTATATAGTCCATTGATAAAGATCCTTTTAACAACGGAAAAACGACAGTTAATGGATCAAGCATCAACGAAGCGTAGTTATCTGTAATGGAGGAAGAATCTCATTGGTTAATTCTCGTGGTGCCGGTTACAATAATCGAATACTCGTTACGCCGAAAAAATACACGTATTGACCAATCTATCAACAATTACTTAGTATATATATATATGTTATAGAAGGTATATAATATATATATAATATATGTATATAGTCTAAACTACAACAATTAATAAAAGTGATTGAATCGAATCGACGTATAGGACTAAGTCTAAACCAACATTACGATGATCAATAAAAAATGGTACTCTTCGGTCCATGGTAAACTAGACATAATAAATAAGTCTCTAAATCCCCTATCTAAGTGGACTAATACTCGTAATAATAATACCTGTTACGTATTCATGTGACTATTGCGTGTGGTTAAGAATAAAATGTTCGGACGCGTCATGTACACGTCCGCGTGTACAATCGGCCAAGTTAACGTGTGTGTAAAGTAACATGAGGAGAAGAGAGTTCTGGCAAATTACGTGAATGTGTGTAAAAAGTAATTAAATACTCGATGCTACACGAATCTTCATAGCGTACTCAAGGTATATCTAGCGAGTGTCTACGGTTCACAACCTGATTCAACTAAAACTTGAATATGTACTAATCGTAAGTCAGCGTTCCGTGGCGGACGCTTCTCTGCGGTGAACCAGCGAGATCTTTTCTCTCGGGATCGGTTCTGTCCGAACGGCTCGCCTAAGACCGTCATCTTGTTTTCCGTGTTTACGCGGAATTTCTCATAATCTGATCGTTTCTTTCGTTTAAATCATAATTTCTCGTGACGTTAAAGAAACAAAGGATTAACAAGCTTAAGATGAACAATTAAAATCAACGAAATGTAAAGAAATAATTAGCGAAACAAAAGATTCCAGTTAGCTGTTTTCTATGGAAGATATTGAATCCTAGGCGGCCGCTGATCACACCGATTCAATGAACGTCATCTTGAGTTGACTATTTTGTTAACAAGAGTCGATCATTGCCGAGAGAATGAATATCTCACTCGTATTCCCATATTACGTGAGATCGTGGACTTATCAGCCTAAAGAGGATGTCCTATGGACACTGATCGTCGATCTCAAACACTGCGACACGCGTCTCGTCGAACAAAAAGAAAAATACAATCTAGGAAAAATCGTGTCGAGATTAGAGAGTCTTTATCTTTTTTTTTCGTACTCGATCTGTCGGACTTGTCCGTTGATCGGTGATCCATTTGGAAACTATTTCAGATTCTCTTTCGCCACACGCTGTACTCTACCGTTCAATGGTCGTTCTCTTTTCGTCATTTTCCGTAACGTTCGGGTCTCGCTCTTTTCTTTTCGTCTCTTTCTCTGTTCTTTCGTGTCTTTTTTTGTTCGTTCGTTTTCTCGGTTTCTTTCTCTTTCTCTTTCTTTTTTTTCTGTTGGTTATTAAAGAATAAGTTTTTAACTACTCACGCTAAAGCTATAACTACGAAGTCGAGCCAATTCCATGCATCTCTAAGATAGGTAAAAGGCTGCAGAATGAAACCCCTCGCCATCACCTTAACGGCGGACTCAAATGTGTAGATGCCCGTAAATATCACTCTGAAAACAACAAACACACCACTCAGCTTTAAAATGCGATTCGTAGCACGCGGGCGAGCGAGCGCGCGCGCGTCGACGAGTTCTCTACTGCCTAATCACTGTTCCGTCGCACTTGCGCTGAGGCTGCATCCGCGACGCCAAAGGAAAACTTCGAAAGGATACCGTTGAAACAATGTTCTTCAATCTTTTATTTATTTTCCGTGGATCTCTTTCTAAACTGAAGGTATTATAGCAATCGAATCGCTAGGTTTTTTGAATTACACAACTCGATTACATCAAGTCTCGGTACACTCAACACGTCCGCTATCAGCGTTTATTTCGGTAACAGTCTCCTCAATTATATTTTTTTCAATCCAATAAATTTAAACAAAATATTAGAAAAATGAAACTGAAACGAGTCACTGAGTTTCTAAATATAATGTAGTTTATAATTTTTAACAGCAATATCTATAGGATTAATTGCATTTTCATTATGTAAAATATAAAATTACGGCTGTCACAAATGTGACACTGATAGCGAACGTGTTAAACCCATCGCTATTTACCAATAAATAATAAATCTCTTTATTGCTCTGTTTCGATCCTTTCCAGTGAGTAGCGTCGCTTCAGCTAAACTAGGCGATAGTGTCTGATGTCTGATTGATCTTCAGACTGCAGATTTTTATGTAAAATCTAATCAAATAAATATTCGAATAAAATTCTACTTAAATTTAATATTCTTCCTCGCAGTTCGTCAAGTGAATTCTTGTTTATCCGAAGTTTCTTCGCATTGAGAATGCAAACTCGCATAAATATCCGCAGTCGATCGATCGCAGATCACCGTGGACAAGTAACTCTATTCAGAGCACGATCCGAGCGAACAACGATTACCCCGTCAAGCTAATTAGCGTACGTGACAAATATGTTTTCCCCGGACACTGGCGCTCTACGATCATCGTTACGATTATTCGCACAGATCGGTGGTTTTCTACGCTACCTCTATAGAGACTAGAACAAAACTTACCAACGGAATACAATTTATCACAGTCTCTACTCATATATTTAGAGCTATAACACGTAGAACATCGCTCCAAAGTATCTATACGTTACAAACGTGTACTCGCCGTAAGCTTTCGATGGCTTTCCTATCTAAACGATTTCGACAAAATCGGGGAGGAAACAGACGGAAAAAAACGAAAGAAGAGGTAGTTAGACAGGGTGAAAACCATTAAAACGCGTGCCTCGTCATCTCCGGCTTAGGCTCGTAAGCACGCTAAAGCTACGTCGATTCACAGTCACTGCAGAGCAAGCGGAAATATACGTATATTCGCTGAGAGAAGAAAAATATTCGTTGAATTCGTGTGTACGGGGTGTCCTGTGAAGTACGATACCGACGAACAGAAAATCATTCTAAAATGAAAAAGAATTTTCGTCCTCTGAAGAGATCAGTGTTGACTCAAGCTTTCCTCGCACCTTTTGTTTCCATGAATGTTAACTCTTTGCCTTACAATAACGTGTGAGACTCGTGGTGAAGATTTTAATGGAATTTAACGAACATAAATATTACTTAATTACTTTGAATTATAATTAAATATTATTAATATAATTATATGCTTAAATATGATTAATATAATGATATTATTAAATATTATTCTTCTGTTATCAATGATTATATTGCAGAAAAAACGCAGACATAGAATATGCATTGGATCTTTCTCTTTTTTTCAATAATTATTAGTGACGAAGTTGTATCGATCGCAGTTGGATAATAAATCATAGAGCAAGCGGTTAAGAAACTTATTGGTTTAGTAATATAATATAAAAACGAATGAGAACATGAATATTGTTTTCCATTTTTCGTCTGTTTTTCACGTGAATTTACCGTGCTCGTTGATACAGTACATTTTACTGGACACCCTGTACACGTAAGTCTCATTGTTTCGATGCCAAGAGTCCTAAGGTTCAGCTTTCACTGACATTGAGTCGAATCTCTCATATTTTCTTTTTCGTAAACGGTAACTTTACAAACAACGATCGTTTAATTTCGAGCCGCTCTTAATACACTGTTATGATTGTTGAATCCGTTAATAAAAAATAATCGTTCGATTGAAATACAAAACACCTGTTCGTGTACTTTTGGTTACTCGCTTCCATCCGACCGAGAATCATTCGAGTTGCCTTTTCAGTTTGAATTCTTTGTTTCTCGTACGAGTATCGTTCTTTCATCTCAAGCTGACTCATGAAAGTTTATTATCAACACATTCCGTGCCACCGGAAATTTCGGTTGTATCTTGCTTATCAGTGCACTGATTTTTTCAATGAAATATTAACACGTTAAACGCCACGAGAATCTTGAATGCCTTATGCATGATTTGTTCCTTCGTGGCAAGGGTAAATAGGAACAATTATTAATCATTTTGCATCAGAATTCTTACATTACACTATCGTTAACTTATTTATGTTATTAAATATTTTTAGTCGACAGCAGTCATCTTGTATATTGTAATTTTTATCAAGCAATTCAGAAGCGTCAGTCACTGGTGACCTAACATTCAACGTGTTAACACGTTCGCTACCATCATTTATTTCGCTGACGGTCTCAATTATCACATTTCCTTCAATCCAATAAACCTTCTAAACAAAATATTATAAATATCAAACTGAAACAAGTCACTGAGTTCCTAAATATACTGTCGTAGTTTATCATTTCTAATAACAATATCCATACAATTAATTTCGTTTTCATTATGTAAAGAAAAATGAAACTGAAACGAGTCATTGAGTTCCGAAATATAATGTAGTTTATAATTTCTAATAACAATATCCATAGGATTAATTTCATTTTCATTATGTAAAGAAAAATGAAACTGAAACGAGTCATTGAGTTCCGAAATATAATGTAGTTTATAATTTCTAATAACAATATCCATAGGATTAATTTCATTTTCTTTAGGTAAAATATGGGATTACGGACGTCACAAATACGTGACGCTACTATCGAACGGGTTAAGTCAATTGTTATTCCCTTCCACCAGTTAAGGGTAAACTTCACACGAAAACAAAAGAGAACGTCATATGATAAATCTCATCTAAGAAACGAGCGCACTTAACGCAACGAAAGAAAACGGTAAACAATGGAATACTGAATCTACCCTTCGATAGCTGCCATATTGGATATTGCAGCAGCGGAAACTTCCACGTCGAAGCGGCTGTAGTGCGACTATGTTTGCGTGCGTCTTTGATCTTCGCTAATTCTGGATTGGTAAGCTCTAATCACGATCTCTAAAGCATGAGGACGAGAAGTGACATGTCGTAGCTTTTTGGTGAAGCTTCTCTTTGAAGTCTACTCTCTTGTTGTGCAGCTGAGGCGGACGCGGCGGTGCCCTCGACACGGCGAAGCGAGTGTCGTTACGAAAACTCATGATGTATCAACGAACTAAAATCCGCTGCAGTTCTAAAAACGATCAAGAGACAGCTTGGCACTGTTGTTAACTCCAACCACCATATTGGATGTTGCAACAGCGGCAACTTCTACGTCGAAGCGGCCGTAGTGTGCTTAAGCGAACATTCAAGTTTTTGCCGTCTTTAATTTACATTTTCATATTATTTCTTTACGTTTCCGCTGCTTCGCAACATGTACTATTATCCTTTGCCACATGTTTCACAAAATATATTTCCTCAAAAAAATTCGGCGTGTACCACAAATGGTACACGTGGCACGGAACGTGTTAAACTTCAATTGTAAACGTTTCTACGTTTCTCTAAACAAAACAGTTGCTTCGTTTCCAATGAAACGCAGCTGGGTGAAGCATTACATCGCAGTTCTCTGTCCGTTTCAAATTGGCGGACACCGGTGTAGCTTAAAAGTCCTGTGCGTTCAACTTCTCTGACAGGAACGACGCTCGTACGGGTCGTATAAATAAATAAAAGTCAAGTAGAAGGTAAAACATAGAAACGGTGAGAGTAGGCAAAGAGATAAATCGAGGTCTCGCCTTTGTTTCGGTGTTATCGGGCGCGCGAGGCGAGAACGGACGAACGATACTCACTCCGTAGACTCGATGGTGGGCGTAGTGGGCATGATCATGAGTATGCAGTTAACCAATATTGTAGTGATAATGAAGAGGGAGAACAGGGGGTGAACCAATATGTAAATGGCCACGCGTCGTATCGGGTTGAACGGGTCGAGGATCCACATCGCGTCTGTCGCTGAGAACCTGAATATATCCTTTCCCTTGCTGATGACGACGAAGGTCTACAACGCAGAATATTTCAGAATTAGAGTCAATCTTACAATTAGAAATCCCTTTTCAGGGACAATGATGACTGAGTTTCTTTCATTAGTCTTTCTTTCTTTTCACTATGTTTTCTTATTTAACCATTGTACGCCGGTACTGGGTAATTGTGGGATTTTTAGTCTGTTGTTTAATTGCTAGTTCTACGTTAACACGTTAAGCGCCATGAAAATCATGACCATTTTTCTGTACGGTTGTCCTTTTCAGCAAAGAGAAGTAGCAATGATTATTCACTGTTTAGCGTTATCAATTTAGTTACGTTATTAAACATTTTGATTCAACATTGATTATCTTGAGTGTTACAATTGTTTCAAGTAATTCAGAAGCGTCGGTCATCGGTGACTGATGTAACATTTAACGTGTTAATGTAACATTTTACATATGTATAATAAAAATCGGAAGTAAATCGTTGAAATTGAAATCACGAATAAACTCAGACATCAATGTCCAAGAATTAGACAGTCTTAAAAATAGTTCCTTTATAAGAGTAACACTTCAGGGACAATATCGGTGCAACCAGCAACTAGCTATAATTCTACTTTATTTAATTAAAAATGTCTAATTAATCTATCGCAATCCAAATACCTTTAATAAAAGATTTCCTTATTTCCAGGATTAAATATAGATACAGAAACTATTGAGGTATCTGAACTGTCAATAAAGTGTAATAATTTACATATAGAAACTATCGAGATATCTAAATTATCAATAACTTATGATCATTTAGATATAGAAACTATCGAGATATCTAAAATATCAATAACTTGTAATAATTACGATAATATAAGAAACTTGATGCTCCTGAGGGGTTACAGAATAAATACTCTACCTCTAAGATAAATAATATTAACGATATTATATTAAACAATAATATTAATAATAATATAAGTAATAATTCTTCGATGTCTGCGTGATAAAACTGGTACCCTTTGGTTATGATAGAAACTATCGATATCCTCGAGAGGTGTGGAGGCCAGCTCGGGTGGAAATTCGTTGTGCAGTCGGACCGGGATCGGTGCTCCTTGCTCGAGCATCGGATCCGGCTGAGGACCCTCGTCCTCGTCCTCGTCGTCATACCGTACCTGTGAAATCGAGAAACGTCTGAGTCACGCCCGCTACCAGCGAATCAGAGCTATCTATATAGAACAAAAAAAAATATATAGAATTCTTTTATTATGTTGCAATAGAAATCATCGTTACCGTATAGACGTGCCTTATATTGAATTATTTACAAAATGTACGCGCGCTATCATCGTCGTCCTTGTGTTCACCACTCCGTGAATGAACAAAGATCCGTCGAGCGACTGAGAGGAAAAGGGTGAAACAAATATTTCCAAAAAATACGATCTCTATAGACAAATAGATTCTCGTGTACTCAAAAATTTTCATGTTCAAATACGAGTATAATCGATTCACTTAATGTATTGGATGGATAACTGGAAACAAACTACCGTAGTGTCTTCCGTTGAATTTCTGTTACCGAAACTGTCACTTCTATACGAATGTTAGACGATTGAAAGAAGCGAACACAAAATTGAATATTTCAATCATTTCCCTTTAGCCCTATTAACCCCTTGCCCTATAATATCATGTCAGACTCGTGAAGATTTCAAACAGAGTTTAACAAACATTATTCAATTTGTTTGAAGGAAAATTGCATATTATTTCTCAGTTATCAATGATTACCTCAGAGCACACGTTGTCAGAATAAAACTGGTTTCTCTTAGTTTCAATAAATCATTAATAACAAAGTAGTTAGATCACAGTTCGTTAAGGAATCATAGGGCAAGTGGTTAAAAAGTATATTAATGTATCTGTATGTATTTGAATTCAAAGAAAATACATCAATCTATACGTGACTACATTCAAAATCAAAATCCTCAAGTTAGAACAGATCAAGAAAGCCTCAATTACAGAAACCATTTAGAGGAAGCTGAAAATTTCACATTGCAGAATGTTCGTTTCCCTTAATCGTCTATCTCCCGCCAAGCGTATCTTCCAACAAGAGAAATGCAACAGAAGATATCAAGGAGGCGTGTTCCCGGCACGCCATCCAACGTGCGCGCCCGATAATCGTGCTTGGAAATATTCATTTGTATCGTCTTCTATGTGTGCACCGGTTATTCATAACCCGCTTCTAGATGAGCGTCTATACGTCGTAATCGTTCGTTATTGCGTTCAAGTTAAGTTTGTGCATCGCAAGGCAACGGTCCCGAGCTTCGAGGCGGGCTCTAGCTTCCAAGCGTGGCGAGAAAACAATCGTACAAAATGGCGGCGCCGGTTCTGAACGCGCGATCGGGTCTCCATCAATCCCAGTGTCTTGCGTACCGGAAGTCGAGCGATTCGCCATCTTTCTGTAACATTGATCCGCGCGCGACACGTTCGAGAGCGGTTTCAATTTATTTTCGTTGCCCGCTCCGTAATTATTGATGCGCAGCGTGGTTGCTCCCACGCTGTGGCAACGAAAGCGGCGAAAAGAGGAAGGAGAGGAGAAGAAGAAGAAAAAACACACGTCGAAGAAACAGAAGAAGAAGAAGAGATAGAGGGAGAGAGAGACAGAGATAGAGAGAGACAGAGAGAGAGGGAGAGAGAGAGAGAGAGAGAGAGAGGGAGAGAGAGAGAGGGAGA